AACGCTTAGCCGCGTGTAGGAAATGCTGGGCAGGAACGGCGAAGTGGATTCGATGGCGGCGTTGTGGCATGTGGGAGGGGAGGGTTTAAGGAGCCGATATTCGCGCCTAGGAGTATCGTATTGACAAGCGTTGTCTGATGTTTTAGAGAGCAAAGGAATTCTGCTTAATGCATACGCAATGAATTATTCTAGACTTGCAGGCAAAGTAGTAATAAGTGAGTCGTGGAAATAGCTACTATTTTCCCGTTTTTCCGTTGTACACAGTCTTAGGTATTATTCGGCTCTTTGAAATTATTAATAATGTATGTAATTATTATAATAAAAATCTCGCTGCCGCCGAGCGTCTAATCATTAGTGGCTTGAAGTGGCATTCGCGCGGCATTTCAATTTTGACATAGAGTATATACACATACCCTCCACAGTACACTGGGCAGAGACGTATTGTCTTAGACGCATTGTCTGGTTCGGCTTGATACAATCATGATACAGATGTCTACACATGTTGCACAATTATTGATCACGATCGCAGCGCTTGAGCGCATTTTGGTATTGTTTCGGCTTTTTTTTCGACTTTTTTTTTTGCGCACTGTTTTGTTTTCGCTACTCTTTTTTTTCTTAGCTTTTTTTTTTTTTTGTGGGGTTTTCTGTTTTAGGTTGCAATATGGCTATGCCTGCCTGTACTAAAAACGCTAGTGTGACATAGTAAATTTAGTAAGCTGAGGGCACGCACGTCGGCGCTCTCGCACTTGCCAGATGCTGCTGGCTGCCGTATAAAGTTGATAACTAACAACGCACTATTCCGCGATTAAATGAGCGATTTTTTTTTTAGCTATCGCCGGCGAATACCAAGCATTGAAATCTGGTAATCTCCGCACAAGAAGATCTGGTATGCCGCGGATATCGGATATCCGCTAATTTTTTCGAACGCCCGTGCTTGAGTGGCAGGCGGCGTTTGTCGGCGGCGCGACATGTTGCACCTTACAGGAAACTGGTCGGTCGAAAAGAGAGTATAGCAAACATTAAAGGGACAGTAGTCCTCTAGAGATGTTTACTGCGGATACAACTTACTACTGTGATAAGCAAATCGTCTAATTACCCACATGTTTTGTCACCAGATACTTTAATTTAGTTATTTACAACATCAACGCTACGAAATTGTGGAAACGGCGCCATGGACAACCCGCGACCGGTGCTGCCACCTGAAAAGATTGCGTATTTGCATTTTTATTTGGCAGGTAAATTTGAGCCGAGGGCTTAATCACAAAAGTGCCAATTATATTATATACCTAAATGCTATTTAAGCCGAACGATATTCATTTTTATGGAAATTTTATCGCATATTAATAACTAAAACTATATTGTCGTTTATAATGATATTACAATCCTTTTGCTTTTAAAATGAATATAAGAAATACCCGCCGTCTGTAGCCCTTGCCTGGGAAAGTGGTTTTGCCGCAACTTCTCTAGATCGCGTGCGCTTGAGTGGCGCCACGCTGTCGTTGCTAATCAAACTGTAGTCGTTAGTTTAAAACATTTAAAAAAAATAATTTCTAAATGCGTGATTGAACGCATGAAACTTTTTTTCTTGTATGTAGCGCAATTATAACACTAAATTAGCTGCAAAATAACCCTATAACCTAGAGGCTACTGTATCCTCTTAGAATTTTGGTACTTATGGTAGCTTAAATGTAGATTCCGTATTTAGTTAGGGGATTATATTTTATTGAACGACGCTTCAAGTGCATTAGTGCGCCGGCCGCCGCATTGCTTTCGCGGCTCCACTGTTTGCACGCTTACCACTCTAATATATATAGATATTATGCCGGACATTTCGCTGGTAAATTCTGTCAAATCTACGTGCAACCATATACGCTGCCGCGCCCATAGACATACAATAGATGTAAGCCCAAACCCTAGAGGATAGGGTTTACAAAGGCCTTCCCTATCCTTTTGCTGCGAAGGAATGCCCGAGCTGAATGCACTCGGGCCGGCTTTGCTGCGCTGGCGTTCTTCAGAGACTAGACTTCCAAACTGCGGTTTATTATTCAACACGAACCTTTCTCCGCTATCCGGAAACTTATATGTATCGCAATACTCCTGTATTAAACTAATAATAAGCCTGTTACAAAAAATTCGAACTAGTGCATCAGGCGGCGGATATTTCGAGCGCCATTTCTGTTGACCTGTGGACGTCGGCATTTCCGCAATGCGCATAGCGTTCGGCCTAAGCTTTTGACTCGCATAGATCGCAAATGTATCATGCAGATGCCTGCTGTCAGTCGTTGAACGTCAATGACAAGTAGCGCAAACGCCTAAAATGCCCCGCATAGCGAATTGCGTACGTGCAGCAGGTTCAAGACAGACAATGGCGGCTTGAATAATCGACCGCTCGTCAGCTTCGAATTTTCTATGTAACAGGTTATATAGTTTAATACAGATTATTGCGATACATAGTAAGTTCCCGCATGCGGCAGAATAGGTTCGGTTGAGAATAACGCCAGTTTGGAAGTTCAGGTCTCTGAAAACAGCACCAGCAAACGGCGCCGCAGTGATTCACTCGGGCATTACCCCCGCCAACAAGGAGGATGGGTAGGCTTGTAACCCTATACCTCTTGGGTTTGGGGTAACATATTGTATATCTACCGGCGCCATTGCTGCTGCGGCTCCCACTGTGCACGCTTCAACTAATAATATATATTACACTATATATATTGGCTGAGAGGGTCTATGATCCGCCCGGGGTTACTGCGAAGGTACCCTGGCGTACGTCCGCGTAATACCGCGAACGTCCCTGGTACTATCAATGATGGCGACCGTACGCTTCTACTCCAGCTAACGAGTCTAGGGCAGTCGCCTACGCTACTCCCTAACCCTAACCGCCTAACTCTACTCGCCTTAAACCGCTAACCCTATATGCTTACACCCTAAACCATTATCAATAGTGACCAGAGTACGTTGCCGGCAGCTACGCTGGGGACATAGACGCTATAAGCATATAATATTAGTGTAAGCGTGCAACAGTGTGGAACACCGAGAACGAATGGCCCCGCCCGACGTATATGTCTGCCACGTAGGATTTAGCGAGCGGGAATTTACATGGAGAACTTCGGCACAAATAAAATAGTGAACAGAAAGGATTTAGACGGAATTTACAGGAAACTGTCGGCAATAATAGGTGAAAGAGAGTATAGAAACATTAAGAATTTGGTAGTAAATAGATTTCGTATTTAGTTAGCATTATATTTTATTGAAACGCTTCAAGTGCCTGTGATTCACTGATTGTGACATGGTGCATTCCAATTTCCAGTTCAGTTGTTCGTCCGACGTCTGGCAATGAATAAGGCAGATACCGATAGTGATGACGACTATATGTCAGATGCAGTGCTTGCTATGTGGTGAGGTTACAAATAGATGATGATCTACATCAAATGATTCATTATTAGTAATATTACATTAATTTAATTTACTACTACGTACTAGTACTACTACTACTAGTTGTTTCAGGCATTGATAACATGTTTCTTGCAATGTCACATTTAATTGTAAAGACAAATCGTATTTTAATCAAATATTGCATGATTCATCCTGATTTCTCATTTACCCACCTGTAGAACAATATTTGTCTCCCTTGATACGTTGAAATCAGCAATCCTGTTTTGTTATCATATTTGGCTGTAAGCATTGGAAATCACACCGTCCGCAATTTAGTTAGTAGTTAGACTTAGGTTAGGGTTATGGGGATGTATGCTGGTAATGTATGTAGGTGAGGGATCCTAAAGAACTATTTTATTTCATCACTACACTTTCAGTGAGGACAAAAGACCTGGCCTTGTCAGTCGAAATCAAGCTAGGTTCAATCAAACTGAAACCAAATCACACAAATCTGCAATAAAGAATACAGTAAAAAGCAAGAAACAGCAAGAGAGAGAAATGAGGGACTCTGGTCTGAGCAAAGCCATTACTCAGGATAACAAGGGCTTTGCACTTCTTCAAAAAATGGGATATCAACCTGGCATGGCTCTTGGGAGAGATGGTATGTTGTTTACCGTTTGAATATAATATGAATAGATGTATGTAAGTTGCACTGTATGACAGGTGTGCTGCATAATACCGATTCGAAATTCGAAATACTGCATTCGAAATTCATAATAAGTGCTACTAGATGACAGTTTTGTATTATATGATTGCTGCTTGGTGTTCCTAGTTCTTTTCATTGTTTTTTTCATTTAAGCTAGTAAAGGCAGGTTAGAACCAGTGGGTATACAAATTAAAGCAGGTAGAGGAGGACTGGGACAAGAAACTGCTATAAAAGAGAGGCAAGTTGAGGTAGAAACAATGAGAGCGAGCTGGAAAGGAAAACGAAAAATGATGGATCAGAACCTTAAGGTACACATTTATTGATTGTCTGGCTGGTATATCCAATCATAATGATCCAAAGTGAAAGAATTATACCTTAAAATAATGATAAATTTAACCAAATATTAAGTTTGCTTGTAATTTATAAACTGTATCTCAATAATATTGACATTTTCATAGTCGAATTATAGTGTTTAATTGTAACTTTCATATTATTTTTTATCTATACTTCATTAAAAGGAGGAATTTATGAAAAAGCAAAGGGGAAAGTTAGAAGACAGAGACATAGAAAGGGACTTAAAACAGAGTCAACTAGTCTGTTATCAACTAGATGAACGTGAGGTAATACTTGTTATGAAATTACATTTACTATCACAACCCCACTCTGGCAGTCTGCTGTCATTCTTCTCTTTTCAATGAAATTTACATATATGTGTGGCGGAATATGATGAAATTCATAATACTCAAACGAGATGGATTTGCAATTAATGATCTATGCTGATCAATTGTTATATGTCATAATGATATGTTTTGTACCCACCTGCATGTAAGCTAGAGAAATAGTTTATAGTTATCAATATAATATATTTAAAACATGGTTTCGATACTCTTAATGTAAGATGACCAAGGTGGATTGGTATCTGTACAACTGATGATTGTATGTGGGGTTTTTGTCATTAGGAGGTCGACGTTCCTGTAGAACCATGGTTTTGGCCTGCAGTTATCATGAAGGGTGAAGAGGAAGAAGAGGATGATGTTGATGAGGAAGATGAAGCTAAGGAGGAAAGCACAGATATTGAGGTTATTATTAAAATTAGGGTGTAAGGCAATTTGCTTACTACTTGCTCTACATTGCTATCTGGCAAAGCAGGGTTTTTTAGCTCATCTGACATAGTCAGATGCAGCTTGTAGAATCGCATGATCGTCCGTCCGGGCGTCCGTCCGGGCGTCCGTCCGTCCGTCCGTCCGTCAACAGTTGGGCACAAATCTTAACCGCTCGACGTACGGTCACGATATTCGGCACATTGGGGGGGATCGTCAAAACGAGTTGGGATGTCGAAGCTGGGGGTCAAAGGTCAAAGGTCAAGAGGTGTAAAAGAAGGGGGAACATTCACTCCTTAACTTAAGGTATAGGGAGGAAATGCAGAATTGCGGCACAAATCTAAACGGCTCGACCTAGGCTCGTGATAGTCGGTGTATAGCATCATGGTAGGAAAAGCCATCACTGTGCCGAAATTGGAGGTCAAAGGTCAAAGGTCAATGGGCACAGGGCAGATTTTAGACATTTTCTGAGGACATGGTCTGACCGAGCGATTGAAAAACTTTTTTGTTTCAGCGGTGACCTAGCATTTTTATGGCTTTATTGAAAGGACCATGAAATGTCCCTTCTGCTGACATGCGAAGAGTAAGTGTCGGATAACCTTTTGACCCTCAAGAGGAGGGTTAAACATGGATTTGTTGACTGTCTGTTAGAAAGAATTTGACTGCCGGATTTGCTAGTAGAATCTATACATGCCTGGATGTATGAGGCTACAATGTCACAGTGAAATTTCAAAAGCTAAATTTGGTTAAAGAAGGTTTATGCTCCTTAAATCGTATAATTTATATGGCATTCTGTAGTGTCAGTATGTTACATGTAACGTATGCCACTGCCAGTGGCTACTGCCAGTGCATGTGTTGTGGTACTGTGGAGTTTTTGCCTTAATTGGTTACAGGTGGCAGCTCTCTATTGCGCAGCCTGTAGGCTTGCGTAGGTAAATGGATGAGTGTTTACCTATTCTGTCTTGCAGATAGTTGTTGCTGCTACGTATGATGGGAGCTTCCATCTTTAATCTGAAGACACTTAAACGTACGCGCCATTTCGTGGCAACTTTCATAACGATCCCAACGAACATTCTTTTGAGAAGGTTCCTGATACCATCCCTGTGCATTCCACTGTTTCGGCATGTATGTGAACACATTTGGGACTAACAGGGTTTACTAGAATCCCACCACTCCACCACAGAGTCACCGCAGTAGACGTTAGATGAGCGCTGTCGCTATGCGGCACTTGTTAATGGTTACCTGTAGTTGTATTAAATATTTTATACGAAATACATTGCCACAGGTGCATGGAGCAAAATAGAGGTAGGGTAGAATTTTGGTTGAGCTAGCTTATGGCTAGTAGTATATTTTGCAAGTCATACATCTCCGGTAATGACATGTTTTATCTTCAATTTTATTAGCAATAATAAAAGTGAATTACCAGTGTATGATTGTTACCATTATATGTACTATAATAATATAATAACCTTATATATAGAAAATTAATATAGAAAACTTATATTTATATAGAAAACTTCTTTCAATTTATATAGAAAACTAATCTAGTGATAGAATGTCATAATTTGTACACTGATTCAACAAAGCAGAGACCAAACAGTCAAGCATAGAGCTCTTCTCAAAGCAATCCACTTTTATTTCCTAAAATGTTCAAATGATGTTTATATTTTTTTAACAGCCAAAAGAAAAATTAGAGTATCTGACTTGCTACCTCAGAAATAGACATACCTACTGCCTCTGGTGTGGCACAACATATACAGGTAAGTGCAATGCTTCTTTCCTTTCATATCGGCTGCCCACAGTACGTTATTTTTGTATTTCTTACGCGAATTTTTTTGCTAGTGAAATACCACTAGCCATTTACTGGGTCACACCAAAATTGTTCACGCACACTATTACATTGTAAAAAGCTGAAGAACTTGGTAAATTTAGTGCATAACATTAAACCTACAATACAACCAGTATCTAGTTAAATTGTAACTGTAGTGTACTTAATGTACATATGTTAATATCTTAAAGAATCCATCCAAGGCAACAGCCTTGGCAAAGAAATTATTAAAAACAAAAGTGACACCCATTGACGTGCTACCTATCCCTTACTCCATCCGTGTGGTGGAAAACGTCATTAACTTGGAATATCAGTGTCACGCCTACTAGTACATAGTCATGTGTACAGGTAACGTCTCCCTGCAGTCCCTCTTCGACTGGTAGAAGCTGTACAGTTTCTCGACGCACAGAACCAGGAACGCGATTGTGTTGCCGAGGACGATGGCGAGAAAGACGTGCTGCATGTGCTCCAGCGTGATTGAGCTCGCGCTGACGTCCGTGTTCAGATGTTTCCAATGGCAGCCGTCGTTCCACAGGTCGTCCTCGTCCAGCCACTTATTCAGTAGGCCATGCTCAGAGAGCAGCCGGATGCCGTGGTTGAGGGCGTGGGCGTGCGGGTGGCCGTGACGCATCGCCCATCCGACGCCGATGAGCGAGAACTTGACGGGCGAGGTTATCATGCGGCAGTCGGCGGCGTTGCTGGAGTTGCTGTTCAGGTTGAGTCTTGCAAACACCTTCGAGTTGAAGAGAGTGTAATCTCCCGTCTCTACGAGGTCGAAAGCTTCTTCGAGCGACTCGACGATTCCCTGTGGGTGCGACAACACCTTCGCCCACAGCTTGCCGTAGAAGGAATCGGGATCGTTGCTCTTCAGCAGCTGCATGCCCGAGAAGTCGCGTATGACGATCGGCAGCATGGGCGACTCGAGCGCCCCCTGGATGCTCGTGAACGGGAACTCGAACTTCGTGGAGACGGCGAGCAGGCTGACGATGATCGCCGTGTACATCGCCGACGTGATGACGCCGAATGTCCACCAGATGGCGACAAAGACGCGCGTGGGTCTGCGCGCCGCCATGTACGTGCCGCCCTGGCACACGAGGGAGCCGACGACGAAGGTGGTGGCGCGCGTCGCGACTCGCCAGGGGGAGGCGGCGCTGCCGCGCAGCGCGAGCGCGGTGAGGAGGGCGACTGCGCTCGCGCCACACACGCAGATGAGCGCCCACACCTCGTCCTCGAAGGGCGTCAGGATGCCGAGGCTCGCCGTGCGGTCGCGCGGCGGGATCTTGATGATCATCTTGAACTTGTCGTGGATGATCGGCCTGAGGTAGAGCACGCGGTCGAGGTAGTTTTCCGTCTGCACGATGCTTCCGATGATGTCGATGCGGCCGTCCTGCGCCGCCGCCAGCACGGCGTCGATGCCGACGTCGCAGAAGCGCGTGACCGTGTAGGAGTAGTTGAGGTAGCCGGCGAGCGTCGAGAGCGCGTGAACGAGAAGCCGGTCGACGGCGACGTCGGCGGCGCTGCACACCCACGACGTGTAGCGCAGGTGCGCGCCGTGAAGCTGCGCGTCGTGGCGCGCCGGTGGCAATGCGACGCCCACCGCCGTCACGCGCAAGCCGCCACCGGGGGGCGGCGGCAACGACGAATCTGCAATGGATGCAAGAAGGCATGCCGCGGCGCACAGCAGCCGGAGATGCATGCTGAAGTGTGGTGTGCGCGACCGTCGCAAGCTCTCTGCTTAAGAAGTGTGTGGGCGAGATTGGGTCCGTGTGCAGTGGTTGCGCAGCAGCGCCTACGCGCAGATCTAGCCCGCAGTCGTCAATGTTGTTTATAGGGGGGGTGTTATGTTATGTCAGCTGCTCCACACTCACACGCACCCGATTGCGAACTATTGTCCACTAGTCTGCGTGCAACGAATATTCGTGGTTTGCACGAATCATAACGATTGAAACGTGATGATAATATGCACGTTCTGTTTGACAGTGTGCATTTATTATGTGTGCCAGGAATTTTTGTGGCAAAGCATGCATTCAGCATCTGAGCATGACTTGTGATATAGTGTATCTGAATTGCAGGACACATCCGTGTACACACATAAATATGTGTCTACAAATGAATCTTGTTTACCATGATTTAGAAAGACGCTATAATTTATGTATATCTTATATCACTGCTTCATTATTCATATTTACTTACTTATTATTAGCTCTTCTGACGTAGTCAGATGCAGCTTGTAGAATCGCATGATTGTCCGTGCGTGCCGTCCGTCCGTCAACAGTTGGGCACAAACCGCTCAACGTACGGTCACGATATACGGGACGTGGGGGGTAATCCGAAAACGAGTTGGGGTGTTAAAGCTGGGGTCAAAGGTCAAAGGTCAAGAGGTGTAAAAGAAGGGGGAACATTCCCTCCTTAACTTAAGGTATAGGGAGGAAATGCAGAATTGCGGCACAAATCTCAACGGCTCGACCTAGGCTCGTGATAGTCGGTGCATATCATCGCTGTGTGGAAATTGGAGGTCACAGGTCAAAGGTCAATGGGGCATAGGGCAGATTTTAGACATTTTCTGAGGACATGGTCTGACGGAGCGATTAGAAAACTTTTTTATTTCAGCAGTGACCTACCATTTTTATGGCTTTATTGCATGAAAGGACCATGAAATGTACTTTTCACTGAAATGCAAAGAGTAAGTGTCGGATAACCTTTTGACTCTCAAGAGGAGGGTTAAACATGGATTCCTGAACTGCCTCAATGATGTCACAGTGAAACATCCATAATCTGGAAAGCCAATATGCCTCGATAGCCTAATCGGCTACAGCACAGGATTACGGCTCAAAGGTCCTTGGATCGAATCCCATCAGATTTTTTATGATTTACCTGTTTTTTGTATTTTTCTATCTTTATCCATTTAACTATTTCTTTCCATTTAAGGCAAATATTTACATGATTTATTTGCAACCATTTCATAACAACAAATAATTTTTTACAACAATTAAAACAATTTTTTAATAGGGTTTGGTTTAGGGTCACAATGCACCATAAAACAGGAGTTTCAGGCACGCGATTTGTATCAACTAATGGGATTTGGGAAGTATACAGAATGCAGAAGGTTGCTGAAATGATGTGTACGCAACTGCGTATCTGCATATCTGCGCCTAGCAAATGTGTCACTACGCACGACTGAAATTTTACGTTCATAACTGTAGCAACACACCTCAGATGAGCCCAGTCGCTCTGCGGCGCTTGTTTCATCTGCTTTCATTTCTAATTTTCAGTCAAAGCTATTAAGTGCCCCACTCGAAGAGGCTTTGAAATTTTCCATAAATTTAGTTTTATAACAATAATATATATATAGAAGTTGTCTGTCATTATACAATTTCAGGAGATTCTTTTGTACCATAAATGTATCCTTTTTACACTACAGGATGCACCAAGAAATATTAGTTAATATTATGTTTAAATAAGCATTCCCATCATTGCGTGATCATTGTATGTATATTGCTATCTTCACCAGGCTAACCATCACTATACTCGGCCATGTATATTGTTTTGTTCTCTAGATCAAGAAGACATGAAGCAGAATTGTCCTGGCGATACAGCGATAGCACACAAATAGCTACAGAACAACTGATTGAGGAAATCTTGCAGGTATTCTCATTGTACCCAATTTAGTTATACGTAATGTCTATATATCTATCGCAGTAAAATTACTTTTTGCAGTCATACTGTGTTGTAGTCGTAATGGTGTATTGTATCATTTGTCCCCATCTTGAAAATTGCAGAAAAATGTTTGTGTTTTTTGTCAAAGTACGGATGCCTATATTTTTTAGCACATGTTTGACCGTGTATGCTAGGTAAATAGTTTTGTGTGCTTGTACCGATTGCCTGTCACACGTTTTTGTCCCTACATGTTCGCCATAGAAATTGGCAATCAATAATGTTTGGGGTATATTTATCCACACATTCTAGCTAGGGCTTGTATTTTCAGTGATAAATTACATAAATATAGGCACATTCTTATCACTCTTTATTAATCTAATGTTTACATATTATATAGTAGAAGTCCAAAAGTCTGGATGCCAGAAATCCGAACCATCCGAGAATCCGGACTTTTCAAAAACTCTCAAACTTAAAATTGTTGATAAACTAAAAATAAATAATTTGTATAAAATAACTTCATCTTTCATTTGTTTACCGTATTTTTCTTTTACAGTGTTCATTTTTAAACATGATTTCAAGCGTTACACGCTCTCAGGGTGCGAAATTAATGGAGTCAAATACTCTCTGATTTACTGTCGGACTCCCTGATTTGACATATGCAGGAGTCTGTGTGACTCCCTGAAAATTCTGCCATACTAACTAATTCGTTCCAAAGCACGGCCTCGCAGAATTACCATATTTTTTCAGCTAATGTACAAAGAAAATTTGGTAGACGTGCTATTGCATGAATCTTAAAAATAAGCACATGTATGCGTTATTGTTAATATCTTTTAAATTTTGAACCTCAGACTGCGGGCTCCCTCATTTTGCCACAGCCTCCCTCTTTTTGTTCGTTGGACTCCCGTGTTCAAAAGTTAATTTTTACCCCTGGAGCAGCCTGGATTTTTGGACTTCTACTGTGTGTGTGTATATATATATATATATATATATTTATATATATATTCAATCCTTTTATATTTAAACAAAAGATTCACAGCACTGTTTTATTTCAGCTGTCCCGCATACAACATACCATTGAATACAGGTTTCCCACCCTGGGTTATTGATTTAGTTACGTAAATATAGGCATAGTCATGATAGTGTATTTCTGTGGAAGTGTTTGTGTGCCAGGTGGTGTTGATGTGTGTTTGGCATGTGTAAATAACACAACTGCCTGCTAGAAAGTTGGGTATTTGTGCAAATATACGTGAATGTTCTGCAGATAAATCATTGCTCACCACTTGTAGCATGAACGTTTTTATGATCATGCATACCTACAGGTTTCTGCCCGCGGTGGGCGGCGGTGGGCGGGTATGCCCGGCACTCGCGGTTGCCGCCCGGCACTATATATCTCCGCCCGGCACTAATTTTTGATATTAAAAAAAAGAAAAGAAGTGATATATGGGCTTTTTATTGCTCAGAATGCAGGAAATTGAGTTTCAGACTATCCAAAATTTAAAATTTTCCGGTGGGGCATGCCCCGGACCCCCCTAGATTGTCTTCGCGCCTACAGCGCTTGCATCTTCCAACTTCGTCGCAACTGGATGCGCCCGGCACTAAAAAATCCTGGGCAGAGCCATCTACATAGTATAGATATGTTCATGGTTCTATGTATTTTGTTACTTGTGCCATTACTTCGGAGTAGTAGATGTACGTCACTAGCAAATGAAGTCTTTGTTTTTACTGATATGCCTCTAATGATATACTGACATATTTACATATTGTACACTGGGGTATAACACAGAACTGAGTATATGAGCAGAAAATGGTTAAATGACGTTGATAAGGATTGCCTTTGGATTAATTTCTAGTGCTGTAAACCTAACATGTTCTAATATTTATTCACACCCAGGCTCAGTCTTAAAGCAAAGCTTTGTGAGCTGTTTAATTTATGTAGTTGTCCTTCATCCACTGTTAGTACAGGATTGTAATAGCTCGGTGTGCTATATATGTCATAAAAAGTTTATTAGTCCCTGCATTCGTCAATTTTCAGCCGCGTGCAATAATGCACGAAGGGTCGTTGTCATATCAGGTACTACATATATATCAAGAGATATATGTACCCGAGGTAGTTTTAGGTTGTTTAGTATTATGTTTATATTTTTATATGAGGTATGTTTAGGATTAGGGTTAGTGTTAGCTAGGGTAGACTTCTGTAGTACAAGTCTGGTACACTTTGTGTATACATATATGTACCTCGGGTACATATATGTAGTACCTGATACGACAACGACCCCTTCAGCTGCAATAATAGATGATCAGCCTGAAGAAGGATTACATAAGTTGACACTACTGACAGTAGCAGTCAGGTGTCTTACCAGGTCTTATCAATAAATTGTTAGTCGATCAATAAATGACCGTGATCTGTGCATGCTCATTAAATGCTAGTGGGGGATGTTACTGTGCGGTTCTAGGATGCTAAGGATTGCATCCAGAATGTTCAGGATCATGTGTGTTCTGAAGTGGTGCAGTACATGATGGAATTCATAGCGATATAGAGAGAGAGAGAGTGCATGATTATCGGTGTTTATGTGCTCTCACTATCACGACTCAGACTGCAATAATCCGGAGAATTGAAAACTTGTGAACATTGTGCAGCAATATTGGCAGACACGAGTGAATGAACAAGTGTAGCTCTCCTATGTGCATGAGATGATTCGTGCACCGTGTCTCAAATATAGTGAAAATTCTTCGTGGCATTACCTAGCTTGGTAAGATGGTCTTTCATATGTGTGTAACTGGAAAATATGTAGCCAGATTTTAAGGCAATTATGAAGTTATATATAATTTCTGGTAGTTATTGCTGGTTGTTTATGCTAGGTCTGCTCTATGCTACTTAAGTTAGCAAAACTGCTTATATTGTCAGATATAATAATAGTATTATGCAAATCTTTCTGGCAAAGATTATGATTATATTTATTTATATATTGTTGAGCTAGGTTATTCACGTTTTTACTTATTACCTGCTATTACTTCATTGTGTTCTGTTCGCACTGCTTGTGTACTATGTTTAGTACCATGAGTTCTAATGCAATTATTTTAACTACAGTGTGTTCCATTGCAGGGCTCACAAGCCTCACGCATTTGGCGTGAGATTAACGCAATTCAGCACAATCTCACGCTCTCACGCACATTTCTGATAGTCCCCAAAAATCTCACGCAAGAATCCAGTTTTTCTTCGTTGCGTTAGCCGAATTTTGCCGAAAAGCGCGGGACACAAGGCACGGGAATCTCGACATTTATTACTTGTGGCGCACCCAGCGACTGATTTTGCTAATCCCCTCCCTTCACGCCTGCGGCGCGAAGGCTTTCAGCCTTAGATTTTCTGATTCATAATAAATCTCACTCATTTTTATAGCTACCCCTGCAGAGCCCTGTCATTGGTATTATTTTGATGGCTTTATATTGATAATTAATCATTTATAAATGTATCGAACCAGAAACATGTTAAAATACGACAAATTAATTAGATAGAGTATGTTTAGCGAGCTATCTGTTGCTACTTTTTTTTTAATATGTGCGTTGGTATAAAGTATTCATAGAAATGTATTATTTACGAATTTGGAGTTAACTATTCCTCCGGTGTTGTGTGTTTACATTCACACGTGAGATGGTCGAGTCAGATTCAACTCGCCAGCTTGTTTGCATCAGTCTTTGAATTTCGTTTTCGGCGAGCAATTGTGTTAAGACCTACATGCACGTTTGTCAACATGTTTCCCCTACAGATGGCACACTGATCACACGATGGCTAACTGGGGACAGGACTTGGGCGTGTGTCACAGCCCACTGACGTCAGATAATGAGCTGAGGAAGACGAGGCGCACGTTTAGTCTCGATCAACTGCAGCAGGGCTTCCAGCAGAGGCAACTGCAGGAGAAGGAACGGAAGCTATCAGAGATGTACGACAACCACACAAGGAGGGCGATGGAGAAGACTCTTGGTAGTCCCTACCAAGGCATTATGAGGAGGGCCAACTCTACTAATAGTATGTAACACTATGTTTCCTTGACACAGTGATCTCTGCCATATCTAGCCTCGGATAAATGAGAAAATCGCTTAAACGACGTCTTTGAAAAAAAGAGTTGAATTCACCATTTAATCAGGACCATTGCTTAAAGGAATAAAATGTTCATCTAATCTAAGTGTGAAAGAAAATATAATGCCCTGTTCTTTCAACTAAGAATTAGTTGATTTATGGAAAGTTTGTAGGTTTTACAAGCTTCATTTATTAGTGGAGGAATTATGTTTCATATTACACACGTAGTAAAGTAATCTTTTCCAATTGCAGGTTTATCAAAAGGCTATGTTCGGCAGTTTTTTCTGGAGCGCAGAGAAATGGAGCAAAGAGGCGTTGGCCCCATACCCCCTATAGACTGGCATTTCAAGATGAACAAACAGAAAGTTAAAAACGTGAACGCTGAGTCGCTACCTAGTTCTTCAAGGACTACCCCAGAGGTGCTGCCACCAATCCACACACACGCCCCAAGCAATTCGATAGCACGTCCGCAGTTGCATGGCGGGTTAATATCACCAGACTCGGTGTCCATCGCAAGAACGTTGCAATCAACAGTTGCTGGGCCAGCCAGTGGCATGAACTTGACATCGAATTTCACACAGCCGAGGGAGATGCGAAGCCAGAGGCAGCGTCAGTACCAGCAGGGTGGCAGATAAGCATGTTTACACCTGGCGTATGCACGTGCTGTTAGCTTTTAATTGGGCTATGGTGGATAGAAGAACTTTGACCTCCCAGAATGAATGCCCTATGTAAAGATACTCGCTTCTGGAAAAACCATAGTTAGCAAGAGTTAGTAACAAAACATGTTTCAAAACTTTGTTTGCAAGTCGATCATTTTGGAAATCAATGAAATGAAATTTCATTCAATTGAAAGTGTGGTTTGTTTCGTATGTGCCTGTCATAGTTCATATCTCCTGTTTTTGTGCATTAAATTAATAACAGTGTTGTGCAAGTTTTAATGTACTGCAGGGAAAGGTTAATTTCTCTATGTATATAAATACTGACACAATGCAATACAACTGACGTCATGTCACTAAAGTTGTGTTTTACACATTAGTGATTCGGCCATTAAGTTTCATCGATCATCAGTTGATTCACAATTAAATTTCAGCGCTATGACAAACTGTCAGTTAAAAGATTGATAGCTGTTGTTATGGGGTTAATTACGAGGTGATGATCTTGATGCGTGATAAATATACATGATAAAGATGTGTTCGCAATCGGTGACTTGCACAGTTTCATTATCTGAAAGTAAGTATTTTATACATGGACTAACAGTAATCTGCAAAAAGATAATGAATAATGAACTACTGCGAAGAGCAACTTGTTCGTTTATGTGGTTTTGGTGCATTGATTATATGTAGTTTAGGCCCGGGGGGGGGGTCACTATATATGCCGTTATTACCCCATGTGCGTTCCAAATTTTGCGAGTTATGGGGGTGTTTTTCAACTTCTAAAGCAGGCCAGCGCAGGAGCAAATAGGCCCCCCTTTACAAAGCTAATCCCGCAATAAGCCCTCGGGATTGTTCAAGTCAAGCACCGCGCCCGCAGTAGGCCCCCCTCATGACGAACCACATAGTACCCCGCCCCAGACCCCGAACGGGCAGCCCATCCCTAAATAAACAGGGCAAGGGGAATTGGGAGCAGGATTGGGAGTTGCCATTCACCCAGCTTGCTATTTGTGTTAGATATTTGGACTCACAGTTTCAAATTTAGTAATTCAATTCAAGTTTATTTTATTACCAGGTTTTATTCTGCATTTATACATACAGTATGTACATGGCAGGGGCGTAGCCAGGGGTGATTCCAGGCATTCCGGAATCCCCCTGGTTTGTATCAAAATAGCAAATATCTGATACAGTGTATATTAAAGCATGAAACGAAAATGTTAACGAAGTTTTATTAGTATATAGTAGGTTTGGAATCCCCCCTCTTGGAAAGGCTAGCTGGCTACGCCCCTGCATGGCTGACAGATTTTATGTTCAACAACATAGACCTTCTCATTGATGGCTTGCTGGGGAGGTAACATGCACTTGAAATTTAAAAGAAATGTAATATATTACAGCCTCTCGGTGTATACCTGCCCGGGCATAGCTGCTCCTGAAATTGAACTTGTCATTTTTGAGAAAATAGAGGTGAGTTGTCTATGCAGATGATACAATACAAGGAGGTTAGCTGTGATGCAGTTGTGACCAAGTTCAGTGTAATGTAACCCCAATGTAACTTAGTTGAGTATTTTAAGCTGTGGCAAATAAATTCTCATAATGTGATAAATAATCTCTCTTTTCCTTCCTCCGGCCGTGTGTAGGAGGACCCCTGGTAGGACTCTTTCATTGTGTATGCAATAGGGGTGGGATATTTTCATTGTGTATGCAATAGGGGGTGGTATTCTTCAATTGTGTCTGCAATAGTGGGTAGGGTTTTCCAATGTGCAGTTCGCACTAGTGACTAGGGGGCCTATTATTTTTAGTGAGAATGCACATGGCGTAATGTTCTAACAGAGAGTACCCCCCCCCCAGGAGTTTAGGTTGCATCTTTTGTGTTGTAATGTAATGGAATGTCTTAATTGTAGGCCTACGGTCTATATATCCTCTATGAGGATTCAGCGTAGGATTTACTATCAATATTGTAAAACTTATTAACATGTTACACGCACCCAAACACGCACACAGCCGCGCACGTATATGTATTTTTAATCAACAGTCTTGCCTGTTGTTTGGGCCGTTAACGGGCGCAGGCCTACTGATACCATGTAATCGTGATTTTTTCCGTAGTCAACGTTGGTTTTATTTTCGGAAGTCAATACTAGCAACTCATAGGTAAGTATTATTGATCGAAGCAACGTTCTTACCCGGTTTCGTACTCGTTGAACGTTGAAGCGATAAAGTTAATTCGTGCAACGACATGCTTTCCACGTTAGATTTCACGGTTTACATCTAGCTCATATTTAGTAGAGTATGCTGCGTACGGATTACAGAGGATTTGCTGCGATTCGCTCTGGTTGTTCAGTTTATATGCTCTAGTACCACTATGCCGGTAGCGTTTCGGTTGTCAAAATGAGAGGGGCGCGCATCACAGGCCGGTGAATAACGACGTGTAAATTGTAATAACATAACCAGTGTTCAATATAGTGTGGAATTTCAGTAACTCGTGTTTGCGTGCGGTGCTCGTGCTTGGTCAGTCAGATTGCTCAGGTGGTGACGTACGGTGTCTCTGACTGGGCAATTGATCAGATATATACAGCTTTGTATGTATAAATTAGTTCACATAGTATTTCAGTATTGTTTTCATTGTTTTCATTTAAATCGAGAATCCCAAGAAGAATCCCAAGAATCCCTTGTACATATACTAAAATTGGAACGATACAGAGAAGATTAGCATGGCCCCTGCAGCAAGGATGACACGCAAATTCGTGAAGTGTTCCACATTTTTTCACATAATGTATCAAATCATGTATTTTTACACCTTTTTTTTTTTTTTTAACTCCTGTTAGATATCGGTCTAAGAGCTGTCAGGGCTCATGTTCACATGTTATACATTATACCGATGAAAATAAAGCTTTATCTTATCTTTATCTTATCGTTTTCTAGCAAGCTCTTCAATTTCCTTGAAGAGTTTTTTCAGGTATATGGGAGCAGTATACAGGGCCGGCGGAAGCAAATAAACATTGGTTAGGCGATTTAGCATCAATAACAGATGTCGACAAACAGCTGGCCGAAGGCCAGGTGCCCACGGCGCAGCCGTGGCGGGGGCGCTCTATGGGGGTTTC